ATCGGTCAAAATGTGGTTCAAATGAAAAGCACTACATTACTGTGAAAACTGCAATTACAATGATTCACACAAGTTATTCCAAAGGGGGAAAAAATAAATTATCTCATATAAAATAATATATGATGTTGATGAAGAATCTTGGCTCCCGTGACGAGGGAGCCCGTGTCCTGCCGGCTCCAGCCACCCGGGCCCTGCTGGGGGAGCAGGCTTTGTGTGGAGGTGCCTCCCCATCTGCAAGATGGAGCTGGGTCCCTCTTCCAGGGGCTGGGGCCGGGGGTTAAATGAGTCTGGAGTTTTGGAGGAACTGGATGAGGACCTGGTAGACAAACTTGTACTGAGCGATGGTCTGGATCATGAACATCCTCTGCTCCCGGAGGAGCCGCAGCATCATGGGCACTTCCACCTTCTGCAAGAAAAGAGAAAAGCACAAGGTCCTGAGATGGGGCGCTTCCCACGGGTGTTTCCTCATTCCTGCATCCAAGAAGCATTCCCTCACTGCCCGTGCACAGGTACAGGAGACAGCAAAGGGCTCAGCCCACTGTAGATTTTCCCAAAGACTAGATACCAGCAGTTGGAGAACCTGGTTGGCATTACCACTGATGTGCTATTGTATTTTATTTTTAATACTAGAGGCCCGATGCATGAAATTCATGCAAGAATAGGCCTTCCTTCCCCTGGCTGTCAGCACCGGTTTCCCTCTGGCACCTGGGACCCGGGCTTCCCTCGCAGACCCGGGTTCGTCTGGAAGGTCGTCCGGAAGGACATCTGGTCTAATTAGCATATTATGCTTTTATTATTGTAGATGTTTTTATTTCAAAGAGAGGACGGAAGAAGGAGAGAGAGATAGAAACATCAATGATGAGAGAGAATCATTGATCGGCTGTCTCCTGCACACCCCATATTAAGGAATGAGCCTACAACCCAGGCATGTGTCCTGACTGGGAATAGAACTGTGACCTCCTGGTTCATGGGTCAACACTCAACCACCGAGCCACACTGGCCAGGGATGTGCTATTTAAAATACAGACCAGTGTGTCAGAGAAAACATAGAGGCTAGAGTTAAACCCGACTGGTATTCTCAACTCTATCATGGCCCAACGGTAGGATTTATGCCATTTCTTGCTCTTAATTTCTTCACCTGTAAACAAGGATAATGGTGCTTTCCTCCAATGGCACAGTGGCCCTGCCCAGGTTAGTGATATGTCCTGGGCACTGACATGGGGTATAAGCAGTACCCACCTCCAGGATCACCTGAAGACATGCATGTAAAGCATTGAGCACAATGTCTGCACACAGTTCTTAAGACCACGCATGATCATCTTATGATGTTATGAAATGAACAATCCCCTGCTGAAGCCGCGCTCTACCATCCCTTCATCACCCGTGCCTCTGTTTCTCTGTGTTACACAAGGGTGCTAACAAGACCCTTCCCACAGAGTTAACTGTAAAGGCTTCTCAAGTTGGAAAACTGCTAAAATAGTGCTGGCACATGGTAAACACTAAATACAGGTGAGCTGTTGTTGTTATGTTTTCATTATTGTCATCATCACCACTATCACTTCCACCACCTCCACTTCCATCTCTGCCACCACCATCACCATCATACTACCTGCACCACCACCCCC